ATCACAATAAATAAATAAATTGTATCAATTCCACGAGGCACGTTTCTGATCTGTTAGGCTTGTTTCAAACGTGGCGCTACTCATGTGCCGAACGCATTATAAAGTAGATAATGAGGTGAAATGCCTTTGGTAACTGTTTATTTCGTAGTGTAAGCCATCAGCCTTTCTAGGTTGTCGGCAACCCTATATAATTGTTGCAGTGTCTTTTTCAATTCGAAACTTCACACTATCCTTGGATCCCTAGTTTAGATAGTTAATTAGTTAGTTAGTTAGTTAGTTAGTTAGTCAATTACTAAGTTATTAAAATAACTTTGTAATTGACTAACTAACTATATAAACTACCTATCTAACCAATGAACTATTTCACTTTCTAATTAAATAATTAATTGAGTGACTAATTATCTAACTAACTAACTAGCTAATTAACTAAACAGCTAACTAACTGACTTACAATGGCTGATTAACTAAATACATAAGTCACTAACGATGTAACTAGCTGATAAACAACTAACTTAAGGGGGTCCAATACTAAAATTTTGACTTTATGGGTGAAATTTATGAATTTTCAAAAAACTCAAAATTAGGTTCTTTGAAGCCTTATCAAACATTACTGAGACTTTTATTGTAAAAAAAACCATACTAAGTTAGGGAAAAATGACAAAATACCAAGGGCTTTGAATATTTCCGCCATAGCAACGCGCTTAGCAACCAAAGTTTGCCGTTTGAAATCGAGGTAAAAATTGTTTATAAAATAGTGATGTACAATTTTAGGCTACTAACATGAAGTATTACATGCACTATAGCCTTCCCTTACCGCTTGACAACCTTCTCTTCTCATCGTGGGCTTCTTTATCATTCTCAAAAATATCACAACAAGCGATTTTCTCTGTCTTTCTTTGTGATTTATTACACCAAATTTTTGCTTATTCCCGAATAATCTGCAATTGTTTCACTGTTATTATGGCAAGAGAGAATTCAAGGGCAAAATAAACGGCGATTTAGTGGAAATAGATTTGTTAAAAATGCAAAGAAATCGTGTACAAATGGACCCACCAAAATTGTGCTAACAGTAAATATGACGCCGATGCTCAATCAACTTCCAGTGCAAGTGTTTCAGCTTCATCGCGAACAATCAACGTTATAGAATCGCCAAATGCCACTAAAGAATCGCTACATGCAACAGGCTATCGTTTCATTGATATAGAAATTCTCAGTGAAGTTTTTCAGCAAGTAGTTTGCAAAGAATGTGGTGAATCCTCATCCCTTGTGCTTGAAGATAAAAAATTCGAACGTAAGGGTTGTGCATCTCATCTCCGTTTGTGATGCGAGGAATG